CTCCTCCTCCTCCACCTCCACCTCCTCCTCCTCCTCCTCCACCACCTCCACCTCCTCCTCCTCCTCCTCCTCCCCCTCCTCCTCCCCCTCCTCTGTTTCCTCCTCGATCCTCCCTCTCTTGGGGTATTCCACTGCGTGCTCCCCCACATGCCTCATCAGGGGAACTCGCCTGGGCATCGTTTCTAGGTGGGCTGCTGGGGTTCCGCGACGCGTCTAGAACATCGTCAGCGACTGCTGTTGCACAAGCGGCATTGCCCATCAAACGGGCTACGTTCGCGGCGAAACCGACCGCCAATCCTGCTCAAATGCTGGCAAACAGTGCTGCAAGCCATCGTCTCCGCTCGCATCGCCCCCATTCCGGGTCTCTCGAATCCTGGGCCACGGCGCTGACCGCCCCGGCGACGACGTCCAAATACGCCCTCTGGCGGTGGCCAGTCAACTCCTGCACCTCCGCGGCCTGGGCCCCGGCGCTGACCGCCCCAACGGTGACGTCCATGTAGGCCCTGTGGCCGTGGCCACTCAACTCCTGAACCTCCGCTGCCTGGGCACCGGCGCTGACCGCCCCAACGGTAACGTCCAAGTACGCCCTGTGGCCACTCGACTCCTGAACCTCCGCTGCCAGGGCCCCGGCGCTGAACTCCTCCGCCTCCGCCTCCGCTGCCGAGTCGAGGGCGCCAGCACGCAGGACAGCGAGCGTCGCCAGGGAGAACTTCACGACGCGCGCCATGGATCTGCTGTGACTCAGGTAGTGTGGAACACCGTGTTATGTAGCAGGCGAGTGCTGTTCGGGGCTCGAGTCAAGGACGGCTTGAGCCAGGGACGAGCAGGCGGAACAGTACTAGGGAGGCCAGTCTTCGGTCGGGCATGTCCCCCTACAGACGGATTTTAGACGAACAATAGCAATGATCCGAAACGTATTCAAAAACAGTAAAGAATAATCAGGGAAACATCCCCAGACTATGTTTTCACTACTTTTGAATATTCCTCCTGTCGAGGGCCATGCCCAACAGGTACCCAGGGCCCTCCCAGGTTCCGCCCTGACCAGTGCTTCAGCTGCGGGCAGCCGTGGCGACGAGGCCTCACCCCTCGGTTGGCCAAAACTAAGGAAAACTGCAGGTACCTGGGATGACGAGGGGAGATCAGCAGTTACACCCCTACTCACGCCGCAACCCCACGGTTGCGAGGCCGGCGAGTATCCATATCCACTGCCTGGGGAACCGACGTCTCCGAAGATCGATTTCCCAGGCGATGGTCATGTGTACCCCTCCCTCGGACTAGGGGCCCATAGGGGGGGCATGGACAGAAAGACTGCCTCTGGAAGCCAAACTGTCAATCCATGCCTTGCTCCTCGGCGATCGGAGTCAGTCGGAGGTAGCAGTAGGGAAATGGAGCAAGCGTCGACCTCGACATGAGGGAAGCTTCGGTGGCAACTCATGGGAGCCTCCCATACCATCTGGCCGGCTCTTGCCAATCGACCCTACTGGATCGACGCTGGATCGGCTCTATCTCACCGACTCCCAGACGCCAATCGCCGCCAGTCGACGCCAAAGACCGAATTGAGAAGGCATTCCACACCGAGCGTCGACCGCGACATGGAGGGAAGCGGAGGCCGAGTTCCTGCCCCACCTCCCCGCCACGGGCTGGGAGATCAAATAGATGCCCCCGTCAAGGTCCAGGGTAGCGCCGCCTGCCCCGGCCCACACACTGCGGCGCGATCGGGACTCTGGCGGCCAAGAGCACACATCGGCGGGGAGAAGTGAGAAAGAGAAAACCTTCTCACAAAGCGGCGGGGCTTCTCAAAATCCCTCGCGGGTTCTGAGAGGTTTGTTTTGTCTTCCGGAATGGCTTCCAAAACTCCTCAGAGGGCCAAGGGACTTCCGAGCCTTCTGAGAAGGCCCGCCCCTTCTCACTCCCCCCGCGTTCGCCTCCGACACAACGGACGCTGTCAAAAACACCGGCCCTCCTCCTCCTCCTCCTCCCTCCTCCTCCTCCTCCCTCCTCCTCCTCCTCCATCTCTTCCTCCTCCTCCTCCCTCCTTGCCCCTCCTCTTCCTCCTCCTCCTCCTCCTCCTCCTCCACCTTCTGGTCCTTCTGGTCCCGTTTCAACGCCTCATGGGGGTTGTTTTGAATCCTCTTGGGGGCCGCTCGAGGCCTCTCAGGGCCCTCTTAGGCCGTCTTGGGGCCGTCTTGAGCCCTCCTGGGGCCGCCTCTGGGGCCTCTTGGGCCGTCTTGGGGCGATCATGGGGACTGTTTGGCCCGTCTTGGAGCGTCGGGAAGCCGGAAAGGCGAGAACCCAAAACACATTCAGAAACCATATAACAATCAATGATTGTTGCATATTTGGGCCCTCTTGGGATGCCCCTTGGGGCGTTTTGAAGGCATCCTGGGCTGCCTTGGAGGCATCTTGGGCGAAGCTGGAGGCCTCGTTATATCCCTCTGGAGCCGTCTTGGAGGCCATCTTGGACCGTCTTGGGCTGTCTTGAGGCCACTGGGGGCCTTTCAGGAGGAAACTTTTGCCAATAGAGCTGGGGCTCGGGTGCACGGTTTCCCCAGGGGCCGTAGGCGACCCGAGGAGGAGGAGCAGGAGGAGGAGGGGGAGGAGGAGGAGGATGAGGAGGAGGAGATGGAGGAGGAGATGGAGGAGGAGGAGGAGGAGGAGGAGGAGGAGGAGGAAGAGGAGGAGGACGGGTCGCCTAGGCCCGTCGGAGAGACCCTCCAGGCTCGAACTGCCGCCCCCTTCGAACTCCCCCTGATCTTGCCTTTCCCGACGCACGGATCGCACGCTGCGCGCGCTTGCCTTCAGACAGCCATCGTGCCACCGTCGGGGCGTTGACCCAAGGAACCCTGCTCAATGAACGAGGCCCCTTTCATCCATGAACTAACCTTCGACTTCCCACGGGACACCTCCGGAACACCCGAGGCAAACTGTGAAACCATCAAGGAGCACCGAGCCCCTCCCCCCACGAAAGGCGCTACCATCGGGGGCGCATCAACATGGACCAGCGACCCATGGACTTGGCGCGCGGTGTCGCCAGGTCCATGCGGCCGGTGCCGCCTCGCTCGGCGGCGGGAGCCCGCGACGTCCCACCGGAGCGGGACCCGTCGCTATAACTGTGGATGCCACGACAATAGACACCCTAACAGTCCGATCATTGAATGAAACACGTGTTTACCATGTGTAGAGCATGATCTAAATATTTGTCTAACAGATTTGAAACATAGTTGGAGCATGTTTTAGACATCTAGAAATTATTTGGCAGCATGCTTCCTCTCCAATGATCGTCATCCGCAACGAGATCATCCACACCCCCCTGATCCGTGCTCGCGGTTGCTGGGCGCCACGAGGGGCGCTGGGCGAGCAGCGGAGAAGAAGAGGGTTCTGCTGCCGCGGCGGGCCTTCCTCGGATGAGCGGCCCGGAGACCGGAGCACCCCCCCGAGCCCCAGCCGGCTCCGATTGCCGCGTGCGCCTGCGTGCCTTGTGTTCTTGTCGACCTCGACTTCCGCGTCGTGCCTGCGTGCCTGGTGTTTTTGTCGACCTCGGCCCCCTCCTGCAGGCTCTCCCGACGCCCCCGCCTCCCACAGCGCCCCCATATGCTGCTCCTCGCCCTCCTCCTGCAGCATGGCTCCTGCCTCTTCCGCCTCGTCTTCCTCCTCGTCCGCCTCGTCCTCGTCCTCGTCCTCCTCGTCTCCTGGCCCCCTACTCCTCCTCGTCCTCCTCGTCCTCCTCCTCGTCCTCCTCGTCCCCCTGGTCCTCGTGCCTCCTCGTCCTCGTCCTCCCCCTGGTCCCCTCCTCCTCCTCCTGGAGCTCCCACCCAGGTTTCTGATGTTGCTGGACATGTTGACCTGCGGCCAGGAGCACGAGGAGAGGCGCGGCAGACCGCTCGGAGCGTGCGTCAGGCATCCGGAATCTGGGATGGGATATGCTAGCTCGTAGTTCGCCAACCGCTCGGCATGATTCCGCCAGCCCTCTGGGCGACAGGCGGCCTAACGATGTCTTCTTTTCTTCTTCCACAACCCCTTCTTCCCCTTCTTCCCCTTCGGGGAGGGGTTTACCCCTCCCCCTACCCCTCCCCGGGGGCCGCCAGTCGTCAGGGCGTCCAAGATGGCCCAGGATGGCTCCAAGAGGGCCTCAGAAAGCTAACAACAAGCCTCGAAGAGGCCCAAGAAGGCCACAAAACAGATCCAAGTGCTTTTGGAGACCCCTCAGGACCTCCCCGACAAGCCACAATCCTTCAGAAACCTTGGGATAACCAATAAGGTGTGCCTTCTCGCCTTCTCGCTTCCGATATGTTTTTGGAGCGTCAAGGTGGCTCCAAGATGGCCCAAGAGAGCTCCAACAGGGACTCAAGATGCCCCCAAGACGGCCCCAAGACCGCCCAAGAGCGCCCCAAGAGAGGCCCAAAGAGCGTCCCAAGAGGCTATTGTGATGGCCCTCAAGGAGGGGCCAACCGTTAGGACCACCACGTTTCTCACCGACACCCTCCACGACAGCCCCAAGAGGCCCTCCAGGGCTCCCAAGAGGCCCCCAAGAGAGCTCCAAGAGAGCTGCAAGAGGGCTCCATGAGGGCCCCAAGGCGCCCCAAAATATCCCCAAGAGGACCCCAAGACCCCCCAAAGAGTCCCTAGAGGGCCCCGTGATGCCCCCAACGGGCCCCAAGAGGAGCGCTAATTTCCCCAATGTGCAGCCTCATAGCTCCAAGATGGCCTCCGATGCTCCAAGGTAGCCTCCAAGATGGCCACCCACGCTATTCCTCCTCCTCCTCTCTTTGACCGCTGTGTTTCACTATATGCATCTCTGCTTTCCATTTACCGTCAGCTCTCGTGAGCAGGGCTTCTGGATGGGTTGGCGGGGATTCGCAAAACGTAAACAAGTATGTGTATGCGTGTGCGTGTGCGTGGCAGCCAAAGTCTGAAAGGATGGAGGAGGGACTGGGAAGGAACGACTGGACGGAGGGTGAGTGACGGACGGGAGGACACGAAGGCGAGAGAGAGGGATGTTTCTTTACTCGTGTCGCAAATCGCCTGTCGACGAGCCAAACTCACGCCAATTGGACAGTAATGCGCAGAGCGGACGTTGAAGCATTAAGTAACTCCAGCAGGCGGCACGCCAAAAGCATGCTAGCCAGTCATTTCGCGCAGGTTGCTTGAGCAGAGCAAAGATGGAGGTGGAGGTATGGATGGATGGAAGAGTAATGGTTTGGACATGAAGAGAGTACGGAGGAGTGGAATTATACAGCTCTGAACGTATGCAAGTACATGCAACTATAAGTGCACGCGGGCATGGATGAAGGGCCGTACGGATGCCTGGAGTCTGAACGTGTGGGGCTGTGGATATGTGTGTATGGTGATGCATGGTCAAGGGCATCTGGAGGCATGGCACTATGCATATACATCAATATCTCTAAATATAAACACATAATTTTATATACAGCTGTTCGCCCCCCAATATCCCATCGTTCGCCTTCGCTTCAATCTCCAATATCCAATCTCCAATCTCGCCCTCCTCCTCCTCCTCCTCCTCCCAATCGCCAATTTAGGGAGTGTTCGATTCTCTCCCCCCCCCTAAAAGGGGGGGGGGTGCGAGCACCCCCCCCTTTTCAATTACAGGTTCCCCCAATGGCGCGCTTTCCCAATGTCCTCACCCCACATGCTCCGCCGCGATCGTCGTAGATGTGCGTGGCGCAGCTTACGGGGAACGCAGCGCTCGTGTGCAACGGGGGGGGTCAGGGCCATGCGGAGGACGACGCAGAAACAGGTGAGCGTTTATGTATTCTGGGTTTCGTCATTTGGCGCAAGGGGGGGAGGGGGGGGGGTTCCGGCTCTCGTCCCGTAGTCAATACCTCCGATTGAATCATCTTGAAATTTTCAACATAGAGTCGGCTGAGCCGACTCCATATCTGCTCCAGCCTCATCTGGGAGGAGGCCCAGATGAAATGCAACGACAGGGGGGGAGGGGGGGGGGACAGGCGTAAAAGGGATGCATCGACCTTAAACGGCCGATGCTGGAAGAGGAAAAAACGGCATAAACATCAACTTTTGGCGCTCCGCGCGGACTTCTTGGATGCCGTTTGCCGTTTGTTCGTCCTCGAGATGCATCGCCCGTGCACCGTCTAGAGTCAAACCGGAACAGTAAGGACGCGCGGTAAGGGTGCAAGGGCCTTGGACGCCCATTTCGAAGCTTTTGAAGCGGGGCGCGGCCAACGAAAGTGTCCGAGGATGGACCGACGAGGCAAGGGCGCAAGGGCACCCTTGGGAAGGTTGCCCGCCCTCACTATGGGTTTACCGTATCCCTCGTCGGTGCAGACCGCCCCACGTCTCGTCCATACATCACCGGCGGCGGCGGCGGCAGAGGGCCAACAATGAAACGAGCAGAGGGCTCCCCGTCTACTGGATAGTGCACGGGGCTCCGTGTGGAGAGGGGCCGGCCCCTTCTGGGAAGCCGCCGCCCTCTCGGGAGGCAAGGCCGCTCTGCTCCTCCTCCTCTCCTCCACCCCTCCTCCCTCGAGGAAGCGCAGCTCACTCGTCCAGGGGGTCCGTCGACTCCATGACGTCTCCAGCCATTGGTTGCCCAGGGCACAAAGCCTGGACCGCTTTCCTAAATATACCCTTTGCAACGCACCCCAGGAACCGGTTCCGCAGCTCGGTGATCGGCATCGACTGGTTTGGCTGCGCCCGCCTTGGAGGTGACGTCTTGAACCATTTCAGCGCTGGGTATGGACCAACCATGGGTGCGTTCGCAGTGTCATTGCACCGCTCCAGCGCATGCGGCCTGCCTCTCTCCACGCCCCAGTCGAACCAGTACTTGCTCCACAGACGTCCGCCGTCCTGGTCTTTGAAGCTCGGGTAAGGCACGTAGATGGGGAGACAATAGTGGAGAAAATTGGGGGCTTGATGACCAGGTGGCGCCTGCTGCGGCGAGCGACCTGGTATGAGGAACGAAAGGATCTCCTCGACGTCCGTGTAGCACGCGTCCACGCGCAGGGCTTCAACGGCCTGCCAGTCTTCGAAAGAAGCCACAGCGGACGATAGCATCAGATTTTCCTGAATGAACTGCCGACGACCTCTGTGAGCAGTGACCAAACTCCAACTCCACATATCAATGTAATAACCCTTGGGCGCATACTTGTGCAACCGTGCGTTGATGCTGTTCCAATCTGGCGCAAGCCAGTCCCAGTCATCCCGGTGCGCTATGTAGGGCACCCCAGAGCCATGAAAAGTGCCAAACTCGTAGAGTGTCAGGCCTCTGCAGCCTGTCTCCCCGTCCTTGTCACCGCTACAAACCCAACTCAGGAACTCGTCCTCACTCATATTGTGCCCCTCGAAATTAAAGTGATACAGGGTACTATCCAACTGTGGCCTCAAATTTTCGTACCGCTGGCCCACAACAAAGCCCTTCTGCACTCGAGTTGGCACGGGCCCCGCCCAGTCGGGGGGCGCCGCGGCCGTGTCCAGCTTCGCGGTGAGAGGGCGCAGGAAGACAAAATCTGGGTCCACCAGGGCCAGGACGTCCCTTGACGGCCCTGCCTTGCTGTACCACTGGTAGAACCCGTGCGGCTTGCTCAGCCATATCATATATCGACGTCGCGTTATTGAAGGCCTCCACGAAGTACTGCGTGAACCGTGGGGGCCAGGCGAGGGCTCTGTGGCGCTCCTGCAGGTGGTCCCTCATGAACTCGTCACACCCGGAGACTATCGCGGTCAGAGGTCCGGGCTGCCCGGCCGACAGGGCGGAGAAGAACAGCAGCTCGCTCTGCCACAGGTTGAACGGGCGGCAGTCCACGGTGAACACGACGTGGACCTCTTCGGCAGTGCCGGTCTGCTCCAGAGGCCGCGTGTGGAGCGGCGGCTCCGGGCGGCGAGCTTCAGCGGAGGGGGGTGGCGAGGAGGGTGCGGGGGTGGCGCGGAGGAGGGGGGGAGGCTTTCCCGACGACGGCCAGGACGCAGAGCCAGGCTCCTTGACGGGACGCTTCAGGTAGAAGCTCCACTGCGATGCCACTGCTGCGGAATCAAAGAGCTCCAACGGTTCAGGAGTCCACTCATGCGCCACCAGCTGATCAGGCATCTCGGCAAACTTGTAGCACTGCCCCCAGTGGCTCGAGTGTCTCAGAAAACCTGCACACTGCCCATCACCACAGCAATCGACGAAAGGATTTGCCTCCTCACAGGAGCCCGCAGTCGCACTAACGTTCGACCACACGTGGTAGACGATGTCCCAATTGCAGCCTGACGCCAGCGGGTCGGGAACGAATGATTGCATCGGGAACATGGCCTGAGAGGCTATCTCTCCATACTGCTCTGCAGAAAGGGAAGCCACGCCTCTGGAAGAGCCATGAAAAACGCCAAGGCAGTACACGCAGATGCCGCCAACGGCCAGCAGGACATGCTGGTAACTGCCCCGTGCTCGAGTGGTCATGTCCTGCCGTCTCGAGCAGGAAGCCGTGGTCTGCTCGACGAACGCATCATAGCACCATCGCCCTGCGGCTCGATGGCCGAAACCTTAGCCGAAATGACCTTGAGCCAAAATGGATACGGGCGAGATGGAGGAGGAGGAGGAGAAGCCTTTTCGCCAAACTTACTGTCCTCTGGGACGGGGGTGGGGTCTTTTGGGTGGGGACGGGGAGCAGCACTGACAACTGCAGCCATTTTGGCTCTCAGCGGAGGGGCGTCAGCCCTACTGTGGGCCGCTGATTGCCAGACGCTCGCTCTCACACCAAAGACAGCATGCCCTCGCTTCATCACGCTAGGCAGGCCAAAGTGCAGCGCCAGCCTACATCATGCCATGCCACACTCTATGATGTCGTCGCTTGCTCTGTCATTGTACCTTGTCACGCATCACACCCTTGTTAGTGCAGGCCTTGATTAACTATGGTGGGATGGAGAGGAACGTGGGGCTACGATGCCGGCTGGTGGGACACCTGACTGCGTCTGCCTCACCACTGCCCTGGCTGCCTAGCATACCTAGTGTTAGGTCGGGCATGCCCTCCAACAGGCGCTTCTGGGCGAAAATTATAAAACAATACTCAAACAGTGTTCAAACATGGTCAAACATACTCAAAAACCTTCCCAGACTCTTGTTTGACTAGTTTTGAACATTCCTCTTGTAGAGGGACACGCCCGACTTACACCTAATGGACTGGCAGTCCACCAGGCAGCACCTGCTCAACAGCGTACAGGCAAGCCCTTCACTGTGGTGCATTTGCTTTAGTTGGGCGCGGATTTCGTCCTCTCTGTTCGGCATTTCCCCTCTGAGTATCCGATTGGGCATGTATCGTATGGTCTTGTGTTGCCCCTCCTCAGCGGCAGACGGCGGCGTTACTCTATAATCCCACCAGCCCTCTGGGCGTGAGTGGTTTAGGGAGCCCTCTCTGTCCTCAACCCCTTTTCTTCCCCTTCGGGGAGGGGTTTATCACTGTTCCCTATTAATAAACACCCCCTCCCCCAGGCGACTGGGGGCCAACCAGGGTCCATGCCGACCCCCCCCCCCACCATCCATTGTAACAAAAAAACAAAACACACTCTGCCTCCAAATTCGGAACATGCGCAGCCAACCCGATGCGGCCCCCCCCAACATCCTTGTCAAAAAACAATACAGAGTACACTTAAGAGACTGGAGGCAGAAGGTGAGATGAGAAAGGGCTGGTCGCTATAAGACTGGTATTGCGGGGCTGGGGAGTGCAGACAGGCGTCGGTTAAAGTTGTTGTGCGCGCGTGAAAACATTACCGACATCAGCTGCGGCGGCTGCGGCGGCGGTGGCGGCGGCTGCGGCGGCTGCGGCGGCGGCGGCGGCGGCGGAGGGGGCGGGGGCGGGGGCGGCGGCGGCGGCGGTGGCGGCAGCGGCAGCGGCTGCGGCGGCGGCGGCGATTTGGCAGCGGGGGGCGGCGGCGGCGGCGGCGGCGGCGGCGGCGGCGGCGGCGGCGGCGGCGGCGGCGGCGGCTGAGGCGGCGGCGGCTGAGGCGGCGGCGGCGGCGGCGGCGGCGGCTGCGGCGGCGGCGGTAGCGGTGGCGGCAGCGGCTGCGGCTGCGGCGGCGGTTTGGCAGCGGGGGGCGGCGGCGGCGGCGGCGGCGGCGGATTGGCCCCCAGTAGCTGCCCATCCCAAGACGACTGCTGAATATGCTGAGGCTCGGGCCAGACTCGGGTGCTACGTATGTGTTGGGAGGGCGGGTGGGAATGAGCGAGACGGCTTGCGGGCGGGGAGGGGGTAACTTGACCCCTCGCCCTACCCCTTCCCCCTGGACCTGGAGAGGCCGTTCCGCGGGTCGTCAGGGCGTCCAAGATGGGCAGCCGAAAAGGCGCCGCATGCTGTAATTTCACAGGGTTTCGGGACCCGACGGGGGGACAGAGAACAGTGCTCGTCCCTGTTTTGATCGATCGCCTCCAAGATGGCCCCAAGAGACCTCCCAGACCCCCCCAAAGAGCCCCAAGAGGGCCCCAACAGCGCCCCTAGAGAGCCCCAAGGGAGCCCCGAGAGGCACCACGGGAACCCCAAAAGGGCCCAGAGACCTCCAAAATATCCCCAAGAAGGTCCCGGGATATCCCCAAGATGCCTCTAAGAGCCTCCCAGAGCGAAAGACCCAGAGAAGTAGAAGGATATGTGCGTGGGCAGGAGGAGGCGCGCCCGAAAGCCACGACTGCCGGCATGCTTCGCACAAGAGACTGGTCTGGAATGGGCTGGTGGGGATGCGCGAAGCGTGAAGAATTTTTTGTTGTGCGCTCCACGGAATTAAGTAACACCTTAATGTTGTAAAGACGCTGGTTTAACTTTTATTTCGAACAAACAATTCCGTAATTCTGTAATTCTGATGAGTTTAAACCATAACTTTTGACTTGTTGAACCCTTCGCGTTCTTGGCATGGCTCACGCGTCTGGTGACCCCAAAAGGTCGCCGACCTCTCGACTCTCGCTCCTGATGACCCGTCTGGTGCATGTGTGCACTAGCAGAAGCAGAGAGGGAATCGGTGGAAGCTGGCGGAAGAAGCACTTTACAGGGGCGGTTGTACAGAACGGAAGCTGGCGGAAGCAAAGTCTCATGGAAATTTGCGGAAACAAGATCTTACCGATCAGCAGACAGGAGGAGGAGGAAGTTTGCTGTTTGTGCTGCTGCGACTGGATCCCCTGGATTGGTCACCCTTCTGTTTCTGCTTCTGCACGGCAACAAACCCCATCATCAGCCATAGTTGTTCTGGCCCGAGCGATTGCCCACATGGCGACTCGAAAACACCGACCCCAATCGACGGTGATAAAGACCAATGGTCTGCACGCACGCTGGGAGACTTTGCTTGGGAAGAAGTTTCCTGGCTTCAAGTGGGACGGCTCCGACTACGGCACCCCTGATCGGAGCCAGGGAGGGGGCTCGGACGGCCTCGTGAAGTACATGGAGCCGCTGAAGGGCCTTCTCGCAGAGGCCCCTACTGGCTTTCCCACGTACAAGTCGTTGCGGGATGCCCTCCTCAAGTTCGACGGTGACTAACAAATACTAGGCAAAGACGAGAGTGGCAAAGGTAAGCATACAATAGCAGGCGAAGTGGCGGACGTATGGAGGAAGATGTGTGGCGACGTGTATCAATGCCGCAAGTCAGGAGTGTACGACAAAAAGGTGGAGCCCCTGGTGAAGCTCATCACCACCAAGCCTTCGACCGAGCCAGCCTCGTCGGTGCCGATGCTTTCCACGGCGCCAGCGGCGCCAGCGATGCCTGCCTTCCCTGACTTCGAGGACGAGTCCGAGGAGGTGGAGATCCTGGAGTCGGGGTGCACGAAACACCAGGACACCAAGGCAGGCAACTCTGATGACGATGACGATTGCGAGGTCGTCCACGTCAAGTGCATGTGTCCAGAATGCCAGGCGCCAGTGCCGCCCCCAGGCATTGGCGGACAGAAGCGTGGCATGGTGGAGACCACGACCTTGGTTCAAGGGAAATGCTCGAAACCAACGCGTCGGCTCAGGAAGAAGACCTCGCTCACCGCCGTACCGTGCAGCTCCCAGCAGCCTGGTAAGCCCAAGCACACCCCCATGAAGCAGAAGCGCCCGAAGCAGGTCGGCCCAAATATTCATTTTCGCCATCGAGCAGATTCTGACATCGCATTGCCAATCGGAGTCGTCACACGATCTGCATCTGACAAGAGGCCTGGCGAATCCTACATAGTGCAGAACACCCGCGCGATGAGCTACGTCGTCGGTTGCACCTCGAGGGGACACGCATCTTGCATGAGCATCATCGCCAAACTGGCCGAGATGATCAATAGCAAGCGCATCCAGAAGCACAGCGATGCGAAGCAGTTCGTGCACCAGTACATCAAGGGCGACCTTGAGTGGGTTGAGGCATCGGTGTGAGCTGATGCGTCGGGCGCGATGTTCACGTGCATCGCAGGGGTCGCGAGTCGACGCAATGCCCAATGAGCTCTTAGACATTGGAGGTGTCTCGTGACGATTTGCATCGTGCATGTACGTTCTTTGGGAAACAAGCATGCGCGACAGTAAGCCAGGGGGGCCCCCCATGGGCCCAAGATCCCGAGGTGCGTTGTCTGGGAGCCAAACTCACCACAGGAAGCCTAACGACCTCGGGGTTGGGGGCCCCAGAAGGGCCCCGAGAGGGCCCCAAGGGGGCCCCAAGATGACCCCAGGAGTGCTCCAACATTGCTCCACTGTGTTCCGTCCTGCTTCCCTGTCATGGTTCTAACCTCTTCCCGGAATTGCCCTCCGTCCTGCATTTCAGATCTGTGGAAGTCGTTCGCTCTGCACTTCAACTATTTGTGAATCTCATTGTTCTCATTGTTGCTCCGTTATGTAGTTCAGTTCTTGGGTTTTGTACGTCCTGTCTTCTCTCAAGAGGTCCCCGATGAGGTCCCGTTGGTGCGTGTCTGGTAAACGAAAAACGAAACGGCACAACAAGGATACAAACAAAACCGTCAGCAATGACAGCAGTTACCATCGAATCAAATGCCGCCAACAACGATTACACCGCCAAATGCGACAATGTAACAACAACATGCGTATCAGAACATTTTTGCTCAAGCTTTGCGACAACACAGTCTTGTTCAGCATGGAGGAGAGAACGAAGCCCATCGTGCAGTGCCTCTTCAGGCCTCAAGCTGTCAAGCATGAGCCAGCGACAGACGGTGGAGCAGCGAGCTCGGGCGCGGCCACTTCGAACCCAGAGTTCCTTCTTGGGAATGCTGGTCCAGATGATGCCAGTCGGCCAACCCTCAGCAGCGATAAGGCCAAGTACAACAAATTCAACTACAAGCTGAAGCTCGTCCCGCCCGAGATGCGATCTAAGTGGGTAGTCGTCAAGGGCCAGGAGAAGGTCAACCCAGCAGCGTTCTGGGCGTACGTTGAGAGCGTCATCGCTTTCAAGGCCGTCGCTACCACGAGTACGAAACGAACGCTGGCAAAGATCGATGAGGACATCGACGAAGCGTCTTGGATACCTTAGGCCGAGGCTGCGAGGAAGGAGGGCACCGAAGTGCTGATGGAGCAGGTCGAGGCTGGCACCGTCAGGGTGCGTCGCCACGTTCGCCTTCCGAAGGACTCGAAGATCCCGTATCCCCAGAACCAACAGGTGAAGTACGTCACCGAGACCGAGAGGAACACCAAGAAGAGGACGAAGGAGGAGGAGGACACGGTGGAGACAGATGAGCAACAAGCTTCCGACAGCTTCGACAAGAGGTGGGAGTCCAGCCAGTTGGGCAAGAGTGCTAACGCCACGGGCGGATTCGCCCAGCCGGCTGGGGCGGCGGGGGGGACCTCGGTCGCTTCGAGTTCGGAGTCTGGGCTACCAGAGCGCATGGCGGCGGCCATCGCCCACCCGCCCACGGCGGAGGAGATGCGGGACAAGGCGGTGGTGCAGCACATCAGGAAGGCGCACAACGCCTGGGACAAGGTCAAGAGGGACCTCCAGTCAACGATTGTCCAATCCAAGGCCCACGAGAACACGAAGGGCTGCAAGTTCAAGACAGACATGGCCGATATGATCAGTGCTGGGGACGCTGACGATGCAGTCTTGGTGGCGCTCGAGCAGAAGTACATGCGCAACGAGCGTTACACCAACGACCAAGTGGCCAACGCCTCGACCGTCAGCACGGCCATGAAGGAGAGGACCAAGCAGGCCAGCAAGATCATCACTGCGATCAAGCCCTGGTTCGCAGTCTGAGCGAGTGGGCCCGCTTGGCAGTTTTGGAGCTTGCATCGGTGAGGCATTATGCCCCGCCTGAGCTGAGCTGGGGTTAGCTTGCGGCAATCAGCGCCTGCGCTTGCACTGGTCGGGGTCAATATTGAGCACTCGCGGGGATGGCTTACTCGAGCAGCGACCCGATGCGAGGGCAGCTGGAGATGAGCATGCAAAAAATCTGGTTATCTGAAAAATCTGAATTCAGATTTTCAGATTTTCAGATCTTCGTCTCTTCTTGTGTATACAATAACAACAGAGGGGGAGAAGGAGGAGGAGGATTGATTTGGACTCGGGCTGACGACTAGCCTCAGCTCCCTAGAAAAAAGCCGACGAGCGACGAGGGCCCAAAAAGGTCGAAAGGGACGAGGGGCGGACCCAGAAACAGAGCCGACCGAAAGGACCGACCGAAAGCCAAGGACCGAAACCACGAGGGCCACAGTCACGGAGGAGGATTGGGGGCGGTGGAGGAGGACGCGGAGGCGGAGGCGGAGGAGAAGGAGGAGGGGGAGGAGCAGGAGGCCGCCGTAGGGAGGAACGAACACAAGGGAAGCATGAGAAAACAAGGAAAGCGCATGTGTTCCCACGAGGAAGCAAGTGGCACAACTTCAAATCCAAGGCGCGGAGAAGGGAACACCTGCACTTGCCCTCCACGCCTCCAGAAGGGGAAGGAGGAAGTGGAGGATAATGAGGAGGAGGACGGGAGGCGGTGGAGGCGGACGTGGGTTTCTCATTTCGGGGAGGGGCCCGCTCGGATTGGACAGCAATGGAAAATTGGAAAATTGGAAGATTGGATACTGTCCAATCCAGATGTCCAATATTGGACCTGGGGTCCAATATTGGACGTGGGTCCAATATTGGACCCTGGTTCCGAGACTTCTCTGAGTTTCCAATAATGGACCCTCGCTCCAAAAATGGACCTCCAGGGCCAATATTGGACCCGCGTTCGGACGCGTCGTCGGGGCTTTCCACTCCTCCCGACTTCCCAAACCGGACGTCCAATATTGGACCTGCGGCTCAATTTTGCGCTCGGCTCCAATATTGGACCCTCTCCCGGTGTTCCGAGACGCCCTCGAGGACCTTCCTCCTCCCCCTCCTCCTTCTCCTCCTCCTCCTCCTCCTCTTCCTCTTCCTCCTCCTCCTCCTCCTCCTCCTCCTCCTCCTCCTACCAGCTCTACCAGCCTTTCGCAGCGCCCCTGGGGCCCTGCGAAAGGCCACGAACGAGAACATCAGGGGGAGGCGACTAAAGAGGAGGACGTATAAGGGGAGAGATGTGAGGGGGGGACAGGCGCCTGAGGAAGAGAGAGGCTGGGCAATCGAGGCGCCAGAGGCGTCCCTGCATCGAGGAATGGGCCCGGCGGCGGGCCGAAACCAGCTGCATGCAGCAGATTTCATACCCCCCCCTTTCCCTATCTCCGCCTTTCGTTGAGCTCCCCGAGCGCAGGACTCGTCCTGGGAGAGAAGCCCGAGGGTCAGGACTCCTTCCCCTCAGGACCCGTTTCCCTGCACGAGCCCTACTTCCGTCACCTCTTGTCCGTTCGATTCCCTCCCTCTCTCCCATCCGCCTCTCATACTTCTTCTCCCGGCCCAATAATGGACCTGGGGTCCAATATTGGACTTGAGGTCCAATATTGGACCTTCAGATGGGTCAAATCGGGTTTCAAATTGGACCTGGGGTCCAATATAGGACTTCCGGATTGGGAAATCGCCACGCGCACAAAAACCCAGAGAATTCTCCGAACCGAGGTCCAATATTGGACCTCAGGTCCAATATTGGACCTGGGGTCTAATATTGGACCTCCATATTGGAAAGTATCAAATTTTCCAATCCGCCAATCTTCTTATGTGGTCCATTACTACGAATCCATCCAATCAACTCCAATATTGGATAGACGTCCAATCAGTCCAATCGCCCAGCGCGCCCTCGAGCGAAAAGCAAACGGACGTGGAGGCAGAGGAAAAGGGTGAGAAGGAGGACGAGGAGGAGAATGCGGAAAAGAACACGCAGTGGATGAGGAAGACGCGGAGGCGGAGGAGGCGGACAGGGAGGTGGAGGAGGAGGAAGAGGAGGAAGAGGAGGAGAAAGAGGAGGAGGAGGAAGAGAACCGACTGGACCGTCCGTCATCTGCCATTCTCTGTAGGAGTCGCAGGGAGAGCCGCCGCAGAAACGAAGAACGAAAAAGAGGGGAACCAAACAGAAAATTAAAACAACAGAGATTCCACAGTGGAAACTAATAATAAACCTCCGCCCCGAGGGCGGGAAGAGGGACAAAAGGATCACAACTCCGTTCCTTTTTCCCATTGGAGGTGAGCAGGAGGAGGAGGAGGCGGATGTGGAGAAGGCGGAGGAGCAGGAGGAAGGGGAGGCCGCCACAGAAACGAAAACCGAAAAAGAGGAACAAAACCATAGGAACAACCTGCGTGTTCATTGGGAAGGAGAAGAACAAACTGTAACCTCCAAGCGCGGGGGAGACACAAAGAAGAAAACATCTCCTCTCCTTTTTTCCCAATGGGAAGGAGGGGAGCAGGAGGAGGAGGAGAAGGCGAATGTGGAGGAGGAGAAGGCAGAGGAGGAGAATGAGAAGGAAGATAAAAGAGAAAGGAAAACGGTGGAGGAGGATAATGAGGAGGGCGTGAAGAGGAGGAGGAGGAGGAGGAGGACAGGGAGGAGGCGGAACAGGAGTTGGAGGGGGAGCAGGAGATGGAGGAGGAGGAGGAGGAGAAAAAGGAGGAGGAGGAAAGAGGAGGAGCCTCTTGAGGCGTCTTGGAGTCCCCTTGGGCTGTCTGGAGGCCATGGTGGGCGTCTTGGAGCGGAATTTCGACGATTCTCGGCCCTCAAACAGCGTTTTGGGGCCCCTGGGGACCCTGGTGACCTTTTTGGGGAGCTCTCTTGGGCCGTTTGGGAGCGACCCCGGGGCCCCGGGACCCCCATAGGGCGCCTTTTCGGCAATCTCGGCGGCCGCTTGGGGGCGTCTGAGGCCCCGCTGGGGCGATACTTCGGTTGGAGGCCTTTTGGAGCGTCTTGGCGGCCCCTTGGGCCGTCCGGAAATCATCGTGGGCGTCCTGGAACGGGATTTCACCGATCCTTGGCCCTCTTGGAGCATTTGGGGGCCTCCGGGGGCCCTGGTGTCCTGTTTCGGGGGCTGCCTCGGGCCGTCTGGGGGCG